AAAAAAAGATAAACAATAAATTAAATAAAAAGGAAAAAACAAAATCATTAAACGTCTCCTCCAGGGAATCGATCCCGCTACCGTCAAACCTACATTGGATTTGCAAGCGGCGCCTTAACGCGGTGCGCCACTGGATCACTCTCATTTACATAATAATAGACCACTTGACACTTTCACCGAATAGACTACCCCAATTTGACATTATACTTTCGATAGTTGCCTAGTTAGTGCAAGGGGTTATCCATCAGTGTCTAGGGGCCGGATAGCTTCTCCCTCACTGGCTTTTTAGTTAGCGCGAAGTTAGGACCAATTATCGGGATAGCATGGAAGAGCCGAAATCTCTAACCGGAATGTAAATCGATTCGCCGCCTCAGCTTCACAGAATGTCTCGGGGGAATCGTCCCAAACTTTTTCGATTTTGCTGTCATGGGTTCGAATCCCAGTATGGCCTTTTAATGTTTTTTAATTTGTTTTTCCTTTTTTTTCTCTTGTTTTCGAAACTCTAAAACGTTTTAAAACTGTCTTTATTAGCTTCTTTCATGTCTTTACTGAGATGTAAACTGTTAAAATATTACCCAAAATAAATGTCAATTGATCATGCAGCAGTTCTGCTTTAACAACATGCTTTCATGTTTTAGGATTATGGTGTACAGATGATTTGGATCCTTATGCTTTCTACTTTAACGTCGAATTCCAATCCCTGTCAACGATTGGTGCTTTTTCAAGCGTTCTTAAAGCCTGTCAGTCCCCTTACTCAATATGCCCTACCCGGCGATGATGTCACACTTATGATAGAAAGCAACCAATTGCAGCCCGTCACTTGGGTGTTCGATGCCATGGTGATACAAAGCTTACCTGACGATCCAAAYATGGGATTTCGTCGAGTTGCGCGCGGAAACAATGTCGTGACGTCATTAGTTATTAGTGACGTCAAAGAGCATCAYTATGGAAAATATTACGTAGAAGCCACTCTAGATGGCTGTAAGAGTGTCGTCACATTTCAAGTTCAACATTCTAGTGGTTAGTAATTTGTGCGTGTTTGTCCTTTTGGTTTCTATTTGATAATTCTTTGCTATTTTTTTCAGAAAACCCTGAGTTTGCAAACGTGGAAGCTAAAAAGCCTTCAACACCTATCGCTTTTAATAGAACAGGTAAGAAAATAACAGTTAACAGTTGACAAACAACATATTTTTTGCCGCAATGASTTCAACATAGAATAACTACACATTATGAATTCTTCTCTGCACTTGTATGCTGAAAGCCATTGTTGGTCTTCAGAGGTCATGAAAAAAAAACCCCTGCCACTTCAATAAAAATATTTTTTTCAAAACTAACACGTTTTTAGCTAAAAAAGAGAAAAGAAAAAAATAAATAAAATTCTATAAGTCTCGCGTGATTGGGATTCGAACCCGCGACCTTCACTGAAGTGCCATTTCATCCCTTGCGCC